TCTTTCTGCCCATATACATACACACATATACATCCTATTGGTTCTATTTCTCTGGGAAACCCTGCCTTACATACTGACAAATGGAGCAATTAGATTTTTGGGAACAGGTTAGACTTTGAGTTAGGGTGCAGTTACATAGGGTTCTATATCCATTATACCCTATGTGTTTTTTTCCCCTCCCCTGTTGCCAGGTTTTGAAGCTAAGTTTGGGCCAATACTCATATTAGATGAACACATCCTTGATGACAGGGTCAATGTCAGTGTCTTCTGATGCAGGCCGTAAATAGTCAAGGTTGGAAAATAAAAGTTGGCAGGAAAGACTGTAATTCATTGAACCCAACTCTAGATTGTAAGTGTTCTTAGTTTCGAGCAGTTTTTGATCCTGGAGTTCATCCAAGTTTTCTTTGGGTGCTTGCAACCCACTTGCTGACCATTCATCCCCAAGTAAATCAGCAGTCATTCAAGATATAATGAGATTGAGTTTGAAGTTGGTGGAATGATTCCCATGGTGATGAGGGAGAGCCCATGGTTTTCCAAAATCATATAAAACATGATCTAAGGAACAAAGCCAAAGGACTCAGACCTGCCCTCCTCCTCTCCCTTATCAGCAAGGGATTGTGTTAAATCAGAATAATCAGAGGGAAAAAGTATTTTGTAGTACTTGATATCATAGCTGGATTCAGAGCTCTTTTAGGTGAGAACTAGGTTTAGAACTTGGGAGAGAACTCGCCTTTACAGTTTTCTTTAGGTGTGGGATATGTGGCCCAAGGGACTGGTCTGCAGAGGCGGTGGGATAACAAGAAATACCAGGGTGTTTTTTGGGAGTGGAGGAGAACAGACAGAAGAGCAAAGATCAGGGCATGAAGAGAGGGAGAGGGAAACATGCCTGGAAGCTGGAGACTGAGTAGGCAGCTGGCTGGTGAGAGATTCTGGAGCTTTTGAGAATGGAAGTATCTAATATTAAATTCTAAATCATTTGAAATGCTCTCATGCAATCCTTTTCCTGAAAGCTTTGAAAAAATCTCCGGTCCACGTATCTTGGCAGTAGTAACTTGGGAAGTGATGGGTTGGGGTGCTTATTGGGGGATGATATAGTGCGAAAAGGAGAAATCTCCCCCACCCTCGCAAAACAGAGGAACGCACTATAAAATGAACCAATTCAGTGAAAGTGGGACCCAGGGTTGTATTTGAACTTGAGTCTCCCCAAGAATCTCTGGGGCAGTATTATGCGTCCCTAGGTTCAGGGTTTGTGGGAAAAAAATCTCACTTGGATCTTTAAAGTTGAGGCAATGCCACCTTGTTTGTCATGAATTGAAGCTTAAGGAAGATATCAAGTCTCAAACCCAGAATTATTGTGGAGACCAGACTAACTGGAACACTCCTGAAGAAACTGGAAGTAGCAGCAGTACAGTTCATTCATTCATTCATTCACTCAGTCATTCATGAGACACTGACATATCATTTTATGTTTCAAACCCTTTAATGTTTGCTAAAAATATAGACATTGTCCCCCTGCCTTCAAGGAGCTTTCACCATTGAGGTGTGAAGGCAAGGGGAGCTGACATTTACTGAGTTTCTCATATGTGCAGACAGTTGACTGTGTATTTCACAGGCATTTTCTTTCTCAGATTCTCCCAATAGCTTTATAAGTCAGTAGCTATTATACCCAATATACAGGCAGGTAAGCTGAGGCCCAGGTAGGTTAGGGAACCTGAATCAAACATGACTCAGCTGGTCCATAATGAAACCAATGTTTATACATAGGATTATCTGACTCTAGAGTTGGAGGATGGCCCTTATTTTGGTCAGAAGCACAGAAAAATTGGCAGTGAGGAGCTCAGCTTTGACGGTGTGATTGGAAAAGCATTCCCAATATTTCTTCTTAGTCCCAGTCAATCTGCTGTGATGGCTATCAGCCTATCTGCTATCAGTGCTTTCTGTCATTGGGTTAACCATTGTTTTCCTTGTCAAATCCACTTTTGGAAGCTTCATATACCAACTCAGCAAGGTAAGTCCCCATCATCATGGACGAGTTTGCTAGCTATGGGTTTTGGTGCCTGCTGAGGGCACAGAGCAGTGAAAGGCTCAGAGAGGAGACTGGAATCCCGAAATGATGCTACAGAAACCTGGAGAGAGATGTTGTTTTTTGCAAGTACACAGTCTCTGTTTTTTGCTGCACATTAGAACCATCAACCATAATTAGCAAAGGACAGTTACATGAGCCTTTTTAATGAATCTTGTGCCCAGGGTACAAGGAGAAAAGGTGAAATCCATCATGCTGTCCCATAAGCATAAATATCACACAAATAATTAAGTGAGGGTGAAATCTTCTGCACCATCCATATGATATTTATTTAAAATGATTTGCTCAAGAAAGGCCCAGAACCCTTCTCCTTAGGGAGATAGCTAGGAGCTGGGCAGAGATGATTTGGGCACTTGAGGAGCAAAAACGAATTGGACTGGCATCTGAGAAGCCACCTGAGCCTGGAGTTGGCTGTGGCAAGTGGATGGACATCTGTTGTTTTTGTCTCTTCAACACCATCCTATCCCTTTGAGGAAATGTTCCTCTTCAACCCTGATCATATGATTGGGATGGGGCTGCCAATCACAATTTCTTACCCCTGTGGCCACGGGGTGGACATATGATACAAACTTAAACAATTATAACACCTTGTCTGGTCCCAGTGATTGGTCCAAGATTTTGACTCAAGCGTGCTTTATCCTTTGGCAATGAGGACAAAGGAAATTGATGTTTCTGTGTTACAATTTTTGAAAGAGAAGAAACAGAGACTTGTGGGGCCTTCTTTATCTATCATGTGGCATCTGCTATTTGTAGGGGAGAGTAGCATCAGACGGGTGCCAGCAGAAATGGAGAAAAAAGGAACAATGAGTATCAAGACACCAACCAGTTCCAGTCTTGAGTCCCCTGGAGCTGCCCTTGTTCTTGTACTTGCATTTTAATTGTTGTCTCTGCAGTTTCTTGATCTAATAGATTCCTCTTTGGATTAAACTTCTTTGAGTAAAGTAACAGATATGAACACCAAATATCGTATTTTGAGAACATTGTCTTCTAAGAAGTTGGCAATTTACATAATCGGAATCAGGTAGTGGGTTGGACATTGGACTATGCACCTACATGTCTGAACTTGAAGGGACATCAGTGGTCAATGAGCCTCCTTTTCCCATTTGACGGTTGAGGAATCTGAGATCCATCATAGGAAAGAGACTTGCTGTGATCACGTAGCGAATCAGTGGCAGAACCAAGGATGGAGTGGGTCTTGGTCTCTTGATTCTTAGTACTTCCCATTGGGGTTGGGGCAGCATGCAGTTTACTGGCAGGGTAAACAGACCGACTAAATATGAATGCACAGGATCAAGAAAATCCCAAACTTGACCTCAGGCCAGCCATGCCTTCTTTTCACCCCAACTCTACTACATTTCCACCCTTCTGACTTTCTAAGACTAGGTAAGAAGGTGACTATTCTTGATTTGGTCTCATTCTTAGAGATCTGGCCTGGAACTCAACTTTCAGCATCCTGAAAGCACAGCCAAAGGTCAACCCTGCCAAAGGCCTAAGTGCTTCCACCAGAGGTATGAGTTTCAAAGCCTGGTCACCTACACACCCTGTGGCTACCAAAGGGGTTGACTGGGGGTGGGAAGAAACACTGCTAAGAGAATTTCCACTCCCACTTCAACTACAGCAGCCTTCTCAGCCCCCGTTTCAAAATCTCTTTTATATATTGGAGTTTACTGTACAATTTTGTTTGAAAATGGGTTCCACTTGGAAGAAAGAAAAACACCCCTTAAAACCATTAGTCTGACAAACCTAAGCCAGCCACTACTGTATTTTAAACAAAAGCTGATGTGTAAGAGGTCATATGAATCAGCAGGAAGGGAATTCCAAACAACCCATTTTGAAAAAGGCCTGAAATGTCATTATTGAAGGGAAAAAAATCACTATCTATTTTACAGTAACCCATGTTTTGCCAAATATCACTGATCAACTATTGGTTGTAAAGACAATGTTTTGTACAAGTGACCTCCTATTCATATGGTCATTAAGAAACATGTCCTCATCACCTTGTTTATTCACTAAATACTCATTGAGTGTCCATACCATGGGCTCACTGTGTTAAGTCCTGAGAATACCATATGGAACAAGGTGTATGATCCTTCCACAGAAATTTTGAAAATTAATCCTTTCCTTCAAGCAAAATTTTATTTTTTGGGGCACTCATCTTTGAGCAGAGGAGTGCTGGGAAACTGAGTCTAAGGTCAGACTGAAAAAGAGGTTTTGGCCAATGAATCTGGGGTTCATCCATCTTTCCAAATACAGTCACCTTCCTTACCCTATTTTGTTCTGGCTGTAAATTCCCATCTGGGTCTCAGTGTTACTCTTTGCTTTTAAGGATTTGAAGGTTAATGAAAGGAATCTCTGCAATCCAGCCACCTGGGCACTCTCCATCCTTGGCCATGGCCTTCAGTAGCCACACATAAACATTGTTATGAGGCCAATCTAAGGATGCAGAACCAGTCCCCCTAATGATTTGGTAGGTGTCTGTGGGGGATAGGATACCTTGGTTCTAGTTATGCTAATATTTTGGAAGCTTTAGGCAAATTACTTCATCCATCTGAGTTTCTGACTCTTTTACTATGGAATTAAGGGGCTGAAATGTGGACTTCCCCAGAGGACCACCTGAGTTCCCATTTCTGATGAATTATTTAATATAAGGCTAGCTGCTAAAACAAATTCTCAGTTGGATACACGATATGTGCTTATTTTGTTTCATGTCATAATCAGTAGGGGTGACTGGCCAGAGGGCCCTCCATGTTGCTATGCAGGGGCTGCTCCTTCTATGTTGTGGCTCTTCAAGTCAGGGTTCTAAGAAGAGCAGTAAAACAGGCCAACTAATGAATGCCCCAAATCAAGATGATTCAAAACATCTGAGCTGATTAATAGGGAGAGAGAGGAGGTTCTTATGCGTTTTCTTTCTTTCTGTTTTTTGTGCCCTGTTCCCGGGAGTACCAAAATACTGGGTTGATGCGTGGAGTGGATGGAGCAAGCTCCTATTCCACTTCTTTGTTTCAAGAATCAATTTACTGTATTGTCCTCAGGTAAAGGACACATTGGATGTTAAACTGGTAAGAGTGGATACTACACTTGATCTTATCCGAAAGGCCAAGAAGCAATTCTTGTGGGAAGTTGTATGGGCCAGGTCTAGAAGAGCATTAATCAATTCCGCCCACATTCCATTGGCCAGAAGGTGGTCACATGGCCCACAGCTGAGCATATCCTTATGTGGAATATCCCTATGTGGAATTCTGGGGAATGCAGCCTAGCTGTGTGGTAAAGAAAGGAAAACATTTGCTACATAGCTAGCCAGTTGGGTATAGAACACTGTTTGCCACTTTATATAGCAGTCCCTCCTCGCTAGCTTTCTAACAAAAGGTTTCAAACCATATGCTTCTGCTTCAACCTGGGAAATCATTTAGAGGAGTTGAGAGATGACAGCAGGCTTGATTAGGGAGCGTGCCCACACACCCAGGTTTTCCCAAGAGAGGCCCCGTTTATGCCTGTGGTCTTAGCATTCCTTTCAGTCACTGCCCCCTTCATTCTTAAAGGTATCCCAGTTGGGATAACAAATTAGTCACTTTAATCCTCGGGGGTGGATGGTGCAGAGGAAGGAAGAGCATACAAGAGTGTGTGAAGATACCGTTCCATCTCCTAAAAAGAAGACACACAACCACTGTTCCATAAAGACAGTATTTTTTTTTTAATTTTAAAATTCTGCATCTGAAAACACAGTATGACAGAAAGCATCTATATACACTTGCAGTGTTTTTGGTATGGTACAGTATTCATTACATCCACTGTTTTCTGCAAAAAAAAATTTGCTTTGTCAGACAGAAACAAACTCCCCTAGACAAAAAAAAAAAAAAAAAAAAAAAAATACAGCTAAGGCACAATTTTGTTGTTGTTTTTCTGCTAAACAAAAAGACAAAAAAGGTGCAAAAATGGCCAGGTAGTGCCATCATTTCCAAGAATCACATTCTACCATGAGAAAAAAGCATTCGGGAGATTGGAGCTTTGATTACTGGTCAATTTCACATAGTTTGATATCTCTTAAAATACTCCTTTAAATAAATAGCAAAATATCTACATCTTTCAGTGTGTGCCATTTGAATTCTCTCTTTTTTAAAACTTTATTTACATAGTCTCTTTTTAAAAAAATCAATACATTACAAAATATTTCTGTACAGTTTTATGCATATTATGATCTATAACAAAATAGTTATTTTTAAAAACTATATCACCACATGTCTTTGAAAAAAATGAAGGGGACGGTAATAACTTATTGTGAGGCCTCTAAAAAAATACCCAAATGCTACTGATAACATAATAATATTAAAAAGAAAAAAAAAAGACAAAAAAACTACAAAGACAATTGCGCTCAATTCCAGTGAATTTCCTATGAAAACCCTGGGTTGTCTTTGGCCTCCATCAGCCCTGGAGCGATGGAAGGGAAAAGGAGGGGCTCTGAAAGTAGGAGAGCGTGGTCCCCTGGAGAACACGACGCATCTGCTGGGAATATTTAATGCTACCACTTTCCAGGCAGGAAGGACGAAGAGATAAATTGAGAAACTCTCCTGATTTATCCTTGACTGAAGTACATAAGTCACCACGTACTGGGAATGGGAGGGTTGGAAAGCCAGAGTTAGCACTCTGCAGGTAATGAAGCCAGCCCACTTGCAGCGGCAACACACTCTGAGAGAGTGCTTCAGGAGCTGGCTGAGGTTTAGATGAGCACCCAAGCCTTCATTTTACCCATAGGAAACATTTAAGAATATTTTTCCTGAAGACGACACTTATTAGCAATTTCTAAGCATCTGCAAACTATAGATTGGCCGCCCCTTGCTTAAGAGGCTCTTTCTTCTTGGATGTTGGTGGAAATGGGAGGGAAAGGGCGGACAGCTTTCCAAAAATAATTTTAAGGCCACATTTCAAAAAGGAGAACCTAAGGCTTTTTTTGCGGGGGGAGTGGGGAGGGTCAGTCAGTCAGAGGAAAGTGAGGAATGGAGAAGTCGAATTAGGAATGGAGGTGGCAACGGGCAGAACATGCTTTCCTGTGGGTCTGTGGGCACAGGCAGTTGGAGAACCCTCAGCCAAGTGGACGGGGAAGGAAGGACCGCTGTCTCCCTGTGTGGGGTTTGGCAAGGACAGAACCAAAGACAACATGAAGGGTGGACACAAGTGGATCAAGAAAGCCCTCCTCAGTCTTAAGAGGTAAAAAAAATATAATACTTTAGAGAGAGAGAGAGAGAGACAGACAGACAGACAACAGAGACACACAGAGAGAATTTGCATAGATTGTACATTCAGTTCAAGCAGATTTGGCCACCTTTATTCCCCCCAAAAGGTAAACTTCTCAGCAGACACAGTGAGGTAGAGCCTGTGGTAGACCCATGGGCAAAGTAAGGTAACTGAGGCAGAAGCTGAGGGGACATCCTGTGAGTAAGCACAGCTCCAGCATGGCTTCCAAAGCTTTCAGACATGTGGCAAGGTGACTCCTAGAACCTGGGACTTGGAGAGAGCCAGGCCATTCCACACACTGCCCTCTCCTTTTGGACCCTGTCCTTGACCTCCCTGCCTGGGTGAGATGGAATTCCCAAAGATGTGACCTGGGCAACGTGGACCTCCTTAGGTGTAAGGGACAACAGCTGAGGTCTCCAAATTCTGTTCCTTCTTCCCTTCAGCACAAACTGTGCTGGGGCCAGGAGAGTTGAACAAGCCAGTTCTCCTGGGACGCCTCCTCTGTGGGGCTGTGTCTTTAGGATGGGAATGACTAGAATGAGATTTCTGTTCCCTTAAGAGTTCAACATGCGCCCATTATTTTTGCCCATTCTTAATGCTGGCTTTTCTCCCTTCACAGGAGCAATGTCCAGCCTTCTTTTAAACCACCTCTCTGGAGTAAGTTTGCTGCCAGTACACCGGCTGAACTGTGGAATTTCTCTTTCCTCATCCTCTCTTTAGAAAAAAAACAAAACTGCGGACATCAATGCCCTGGCTGGTGTGGCCCAGTGGTGTCAGTGCTGGCCTGTGAACTGAAAGGTTGCTCGTTCGATTCCCAGTCAGGGCCCATGCCTGGCTTGCAGGCCTGGTCCCCAGTCGGGGGTGTCCAAGAGGCAACCCATTGATGTGTATCTTGCATGATGATGTTTCTCTCCCTTTCTTTTTCCCCTCTGTTCCCCTCTCTCTAAAAATAAATAAATAAAATCTCTTTTTAAAAGGCTGAATAAAATCTTTAAAAAAAGGCTGACATTGAAAAATCAGATTTCCTATTAAAACCTGGATCTCTGGCTGCCCGGGCCAGACTGGGAGATTCTGGTGTGCGTGCCTGCATTCTCACAAGCACTGCCAGGTTGCGGCCCCGCAGCGGCTGCACCTGTTGGACGGGTCATGTGCGTGCCAGCAGACCGTAGTCCCCACCACTCCCTACTGCTACACCAACAGCTTCACTCCTCTATGTCAGTGTCCTGGACCCCACAGGAATTTGTGACTTCAACCATAGGGAGCCTCTTTGATCTTGCAGACCTCTGCCAACAGCTGTCTCTATATATCCCCTTTAGATGCTGCCTGGAAGCTTGTGTCCTGAGTTTCCCAGTGAACTTGGTTGTGAAAGGGGCTTTTGCTCACACACCCTGCACCCAGAAGCTACTGCTCTCCTCTATTCTGCACTTTCTCTGCAAAGGAATCAAGGTTTCAGCCAGTGACCTCGCACTTGGAAACTAGAGAACCAGAAGGAAGCACAGAACACACAATACAGGCATATGCCCAGAGTAGCTGCACTCCGCACCTTTCACGGGCTTATGTGGCTTCTCTTAGCCTCTCTCAACTCACTTGCATTTTAAAAAGTTCAGCTAACACTGGGAAATAAAGTCAGAATGACCCCTGATCACATCAGAAAGGCCTTTCTCCAAAGGGAGGAATGGGTGCACATGTTAAAACACAGGGGGCCCTGGGAATTGCTCACACCCCGCCTTGGAGACATGGTGCTTTGTGTATGGCCTGGGAAATGGAACCTGGGAGGGCCCACCGAGGAGGGAAGTGCCTCCTGAGCTCCCTATGTGCCTGAATGTCACTGGGATGGCTGGGAAATTGTGCCGAGTGCCACAGCCAACCGAATGCTTCCTTCTCCCCACAAACTGACCTCAAGTCCCCCTTTTCAACTTGCCCGCAGTCCCAGGACCTGGCCGGTAACTCTGCCCCCTATCACTATGCTTCTGCAGACTGGAACAGGGTTTCCGGAGACCTCAGTCCCCTGTTTTTAAAACCCTCAGGCAACCATTGCTGATGGCTGCCGGACCAATGGCTTCTAACAGATAAATCATTCTCAGGCAGATTTAAAAAATGAGTTAAAACTACTTTCCCTGGAAAAGATCACTTTTTCTCTAAATATACTAGGCTTTGATTGCATTTCTGTCTCTCTCTCTCTCTCTTTTAACCAAACATAAAATATGCAAAGTTATTCTCTGTCTAGAAACAAAGGACATTAAGAACACCTGGGTGACTGCTCAGTGTCCCAGAATTCATTGCAGGGAGTGGCGACTGAAGAGAAGGACAGGGACGGGGTGGAGATATCCCCAGAGTAAGCCAGCTCTGCCACTTCTCCCAGAGTGGGGACAAAAGTCAGCAATGTCAGTGGGTGCAGGAAGGCCCGCGTAGGAGCCAGCAGGCACACACCATGCAGAGATGTGTCAGTGCTGGGCTCTCATGAGCCACTGCAAATGACACTGTGAAAACTCTGAGGCCTAGTGGTGGAGTGGGGAGGGTGAAGGGAGGTTCCCTGGGCAGCTCTGACAGGTGCAGGGGCCCTCTGGCCAGAGACAGAAGGTAGGGGCAGAAAAAGGGTGTGGCACGGGCCTCCCATGGCTTCTAAGTCCATTGGGAGATCAGAGGGGCTTTCTGAGAACGCAACTCTGAGGTCCCTGGAACCACTGTTGACAGCGGCCATCTCCTGGGCTCTCTTGGCCCAGTCTGACAGCCTACCCTCTTCCTAAAAGGATTTCTTGATTTCTTTTCCTCTGGGGCTTGGAAGCAGCCTGTTTCCCTCTGTCATCTTGTCATGTTACATGGAGCTTCATGGTTAGACTCGCTAAGGAAGGTCAGCAAGGGACGAAGCAGGGACAGCCCAAGATCCCTGCTTTGACAAGTGGTTGGCCAGTCCTGCCCCTGTGCCTGGGGCGGGGAGCGGGGATGGCTCAGGAATTCCAGCACCCCCAGAAATGGAGGTCTGGATGAGGCTAACACCTGCATGAGGAAAAGTGAGGCTTCAGTGTTCCCCAAGTTACCCCACATCAGACTGTGGATGTTGCTGGTCGAAGTGTTCTCCTCATGGTGTCCAACACCCCTGCTGCCCTCTGAGGACATGGAGAATGTAGGGCAGACACACAGAGAGAAACTGAGAGAGAGAGAAATGGCAGCAGGGAGACACTAACGGGTGGGAAGGAGAGGAAGGAGGAGAAGGGCTGGGGGGGACCTTTAGTGAATAAAGGCAGCCTCAGTTAGTGAGATAACATAATTGACAAGCTGCAAAAACAGCACCTACTAATTAGTCATTGACTAAAACTTATAAATAATAAATATCTAAAGTGTCCTTTCTCTATATCCTCCATTGCCCATAGGACATCCTGCCTTGCTGGGTGGGGGATGGGGTGGTTTCGGGGGCAACAGCTGAAAGTCATCAGAGGGAACTGTAGTACCTTCAAACTCACACAGGAGAGACACACCAAGGCCTGGCTCTCCTGGGAAGGACAGTTTGCAACTGGGGTGGCACAGGTCCACGGGAACCCTGTCCTTTGGGGGAGGGTGGGATCAGAGGAGGAAGGGGGCCCCTGGGGAGGGGCTCTCAGAGGAGCAGGGGTCACTCCAAGGGGCACATGGCAAGGAAACCCTCCAGGTTTCTGGGAACTCGGGCCTTGTGAACAATACGGTTGTTTTGGTTTTAAACAACCAGATACTCAAGCTTCCCACTTTTACACTGCACGTCAGATGGGCCTCTTGGTACCTCCGGTAAGGAAGGGCATGAATTTAAAAACCAAATCGGAAATGCTTTTTCCTTGATGTGAAAAGTCTGGTCCATGCGATTTGGTCACTCCCAACAGCACCGAGTGTGCAATTCACAAAGCTCTGGGGCGCCTGACCTCAGAAAGGAAAGGCTCAGGCAGGTGATGGATACCGTTGTGCTGTCTAGCTCAGGAGCTTTGCTCCAAACAACCTCTATGAGTTTCATGGCCGTGGACCCTCCTGCTCCCACTGTCAACGATCAACACGGTCATGGTCTTGGTGTCCTGGCCCATGAACGGTTGGAGACTTGGGGTTCATTATCATCCTATTTTTCCTTGAGGGAGGGTGGCCTGGAACCCAGGACACTGGCAGTCTCACTTTGGTGGACCTCGGCCATGTTGCACCACAAGGCTTTCCTGCTCATCTAGCTGCTAAGAAGAAGGGCTGGTGGGAGGCTTCAGGGCATCCTGAGTCGGCTGCCCCCCAGGAGAGAAGCCCATGAGCATGACTTCCCATGTCATTTCAGGGCTGGCACAAGGGTTTCCTGGACCAGAGGAGTGGAAAGATGAGCGGAAGGGTGGGGCTGGAGATCAAACCCACCATCTGGGCAGTGCTTTTCAAACTGGGTTTTGCAGAGCCCTTAGGTTCTGAAGAGGTACCTTTAGGAGATGCCCTTGGCAAAGGGACTGCCCATTGGGCTGAGCTTTGAGAAAGAACCTCCCTCTCCCCAGCTTCAACCAGAGCAGCCTGGATTTCATCTGCGCCTTGATCCCACCCACGACTGCGCTTAGTAAACAAAGTTCTGCTGCTCAAAGTAAAAGTTTGAGAATTACTTGTCTCGGGGGTTGGGTCATTGGAGGGGGAAGACAAGGACCCTGTAGGACTTGAGAATCAGCCAGAAGAGGTAAGACCACGCCCCCAGGAGCCAGCTTACCAAATGCAGGTCATCGGCAAGCCCTGCTTTGGCCCCAGAACTTTCCTTCTCCATCATTCTATGGCTAGGAGGGCCCCTCCCACAAAAGGCACCCCCTGGTTGGGAGGCCAGGGTCCAGGCCCCACTGGCCCTCTGGCTGTGTTCCCTTTAACATCCGCTGTGATCCACGCATGCCCGGTGCTACCTGAGCCGGCCGTCGGGTTTGACTGCCCCCAGCTCTGACTTGGGGTCAGGGCTGAAGGAACTCCAGGCCGTCTGGCTGCAGGTCTGCATGACCGGGCAGGCGGTGGGGCCTGTGGCACAGATGTCCATGGCGGTCCACATCCCGCCCACCAGCGAGTCCAGCCAGTGCTCCAGCGCAGTGCCGGTGGAGGCTGCGTTCCTCTGAGCCTGCTCCACCTGGGCAGGGCTGATGGGCAGGCTGAGGACAGGGTTCAGGCTCTGGAAGCTCTGCTCCATGTAGGTGCTGCGGTGGGGCCCGTTGTGCAGCTTCAGTGCCTCCTCTGAAAGCAAAGGGAACCGTCATAGTATTAGAAGAGCCACGAACCTGGCACCTACTGTGTGCCCAGCACCATGCTGGGCATGGTGCAGCACCACTTAATTTGCAGGACAATCTCATAAGGAAGTTATTTTTGCAGTCCCATTGTGCAGATGAAGAAACTGAGCCCGCGACATTTATGAGTCCACTTTAGAACAGAGCAAAGTTCATTTATTCATTCAGCACATATTTACACAGCACCTTCAATAATCCAGGCATTCATTCATTCAATGCATATTTACTAAATATCTACTCTCTGAGAGGCATTCATTCACTCATCTGATAAAGACTTATTAAGTGCCAGACTCTACTATATGGGGTGGAGAGAACCAGACAGTCAAGGAGATTGCAATCCAGTAGGGTAGACTGGTGACAATACAAGGATAAACAAGTAAATAAATGAGGTTGCTTCAATTAGTGATAAGTGTCATGAAGGGAATAAATGGGGTACTGGGTCAGAGCAGGGGGTTGGCACACTATGGCCCTTGGGCCATATCTGGCCCCCCACCTGTTGTTGTAAATAAAGTTTTATTGGAGCACAGTTATGACCACTTGGGTAGATATTGTCTGTGGTTGCTTTTGTGCTATCACAGCAGAACTGAGTAGCTGAGGCAGAGACTGTAAGTGGCCCGCAAATCCAAATACATTTACTATTTAGCGCTCTACAGTAAAAGCCTCCTGATCCCTGGATGAGAGAGTGACAGTTGTGTTTATTTTATTTATTTAGTTATGTATTTATTTATTTTCTTTTATTGATTTCAGAGAGAGGGGAAGGGAGAGAGAAAGAGAGGGAGATTAAGATCGATGTGAGAGAGAAATATTGATCTGTTGCTTCTTGCACGTGTTACTACTATGGATGGGACCACAATCCGGGCATGTGCCCAGACTAGGAATAGAACCAGTGACCTTTCTCGGTTTGAGGGATGATGCCCAACTAAGTGAGCCACACTGGCCAGGGTGAGGGTGTTTATTTTAGATAAGGTAAGCAAGGGAGACTTCGCTGAGGAGGTGACATCTGTGCTGAGAACTGATTAATGTGAAGGAAGAAAGAAGCCACATACAGATTCTGGGGGAGAGATTTCTGGGCAAAGGGAACAGTGAGCACAAAGGCTTATTAAACATCTTTTCCCAAATCACACAGGTAATGAGAGTTGGAGCTGAGGTTTGAACTGGGTCTGTTGACCTCAAAGCCTGGTGAGAAGCCCTGTTTTTGGCTGCTGAGTGCCTACCATGAACTCTGTATAAAGACATGATTTCTGCTTTGCTCCCAGATGTGGTGCACGAATAGACCACAGGGAAGTGTCCTGGAAAGCAGGATGCTTGGACCACAGTGGGGTGGGGTGGGAGGTCCCACCGGCTCTCACAGCAGCTCTGCCTTGTTGAGCACCTGCCCACACCTTGGCAGAGCACAGGGACTTCAGTCAGGTTGTCTGGGTCTGACTCCCCATGTCCCACATATTAGCTGTGTGACTTCTGACTTCAATGCCCCGTGGCTCAGTTTCCTTATCAATAAAATGGGTGGAGTGCAAATACCTTCCTCTTAGCTTCCTGAGGATGAAGTGTGCTGACTCATACACAGTGCTTAAAATGGCACCCAGCATATACTAAGCAGTTGGAAAAGTTTAGCTAGAATGACTGTTGTTGGTATTGCTAGGACACAATAGACACACATACATGTACACAACTATCGGGCTGGTGTTATTATACCCATTTTACAGATGGGGAATCAGGAGTAACTATATTAGAGACAGATCAGCAGTTAAATCTAAGACTGGCTGACTCTAAAGCCAGTGTTTGCCCTCATCTACATAAAAAGTGTTGTGTGTTTATGTGTATGCCTTAAGGGCACTGAGAAATCTCTAGAAGGACGTGCACCAAACTCTTGGCAGTGGTTACTCCTGGAGGCAGCGTTGAATGGGCATTCAGTGGCAGGAAGCTAAAGCAAATCTTTTGTTTTTGGTTTTTTTTTGGTCTGGGAGCCAATCTTTTGAAGACCTGGTTTCCCCATCTGTAAAAAGGGGATGCTTATCCTCACACCAAGTGGACCTGCTGAGCTGGCAAGAGGCTCAGATTGAAGTTCAGGTGCTTTGTCAACAGGAAAGGAGTGTATAAATGAGAGGCACCATGATTACTTCCAGGGCTTAACAATGTGTAAGAAGAAAGTGTAGCCCTTTGGGGTGAAGGAAAGAAGCTAGCTAGCCATTTCTATTTGAAGAAGTTCTTACTCATTGCTTATTTTATTGTCAAACACAAAAATACATATATTTAAAAGTACCAGCTGATGATTCTGGTGAGAATTAGAAGAAACTTCCTTATAAGACAAAGTGGCATTCAGAAGACAACGCTTCCTGCTTCCTTGACAGCGCCTGTCACCCTCGGTGGCAACCAGGACAGCCTGGGTAGTCAGCAGATTATTTGCTAACATGTGTGGCCTTGAGTGAGGAGGGAGGAGAAAGAAAGATCACATCTGTGGTTGTTTTTCTAAACACAATGGGAAAACCAGTTAAGTTAAAAATGTACCTTGCTTAACAGAGGCAAGAAAGTCACTCCTTCTGTTTCCAGTGCTTTAGGAAGCTGAGGGGCTGGGCTCTGTGGTTTGGAGGGGAGCGAGTGGGAGAAATGAGACTAGCAAGCATAAGCATATATCTTGTCTTGCTATGATTTAGCAGAGCTTTTCCCTTCCAAGTTAGGCCAGTCCCTGTCTGTCAGTCTGGCCCTAGCCTACTGCTCCCTGAGGCTGGCAGACAGGGTGGGTAGCTCCTGTATCATTTTCCAGGAGAACAGAGTCTGTTCTCTTTGGTGTAGGTCTAATTTCTTTACTTGAGTCTCTTAATGCCTCCATCTTGCAGATGGGAAGTGAGGAGACACCCAAACCAACAAAACACAGGGCATGCAGAGTGAAGAGAGCAGCTAATGCCCTGGCTGGATGGCTCAGTTGATTGGAGCACTGTCGTATACACCAAAAGGTTAGATCCCTGGTTGGGGCATGTTATGGGAGTCAATGGATGGATGTTTAGTCTCTCATATCGATGTTTCTTTCTCTCCCCCACCCCTAAAATCAGTAAACATATTCTTGGGGTGAGGGTTAAAAAAAATAGAGAGCAGCTAACAAACATCTGAACACCAAATATCGTGGTTGATGCAGAAAACCCCTGTGAAAAGTGAGGTTAATGTGGGATGTGCTCTTACAGCAGCAGCTTGCAACGCTCGCCTCTGTAATTAAATTTCCCTCAATTCCACCTCATCAGATTTCTTGAGATTACTAGGGACGCATCAATAGCAAATTACTCTTGATGAATCATTTTACAAATTGCATGGCTCCCACCTTCGTGTTCCCTGTCATTGGAGCATCGTTACCAGATATAATTACTGACAGCGGAGAGGGGTGAGGGAGTGCTCCCAGTGGAGTAAAATGACCCTTGGCTCGTGCTGGGCATGAGCGGGAAAAGCCTTACCATCCTCGGAAACTCCAGAAAAAACTGGAAACCTCAGGATGCAAAGAAGGGCCCCAGGCTATTTTACTGGGCTGGCGGTGGATTCAGGACGACTCCTTTGTTCTGTCCAACAGGTGCGTGGGACACAGAGGAGACTGCCCTTTCCATCGCTCTCCTCCACATCTGACGGTGGAAATCCTGAAGGGTGCCAACGATGTGAACCTGATCAAGGGACACTTGAGGGCCCTTAGTGGCTGGGCACTGGCCCAGACAGTTCTGGAGGAGCTGTCTTTTGTCTGTTTCAGAGAGGAGTGGGGAAGCAGTCTTCCTTCTCCAGAAAAAACAAAGTCTCTCTTTCTATTTGCTCAGCACAGGAACTTTGCAGAAGTTGACAGAATTCACTTCAACATTCCCATTTTTTAGAACTCCAGGCATCCCCTCTCCATATCCTTGTCCCCCTCTCCTTGTACCACTGGCTAAATGGCACCCAGCTCAGAGCTCTTAGCTAGCAGAGGCTGTAATCACTGCCGGCCTCTGGGTTTGCAATCTGTTATGTGGAGATGAATAATTTCAAATACTGAGAGACCTGGAAATCCTATTTCTAGGAATCTATCTTATGGATGTATCTGCACGGGCATGTATAGTTTTTGGTTTAAGAATCTTCTTTGCAGTGTTATCTATGACAACAACAACAGAAGCTATGTGTCTACCGATGGGGACAGATAGATTGGGGATCCTTAATCCAACAGAATAGTCTGCAGCTGGTGGCTTTATCTATGCTGACTTGGAAAGTAAAGAAAGCAAGTTTTACTACAAAATGTATCATTCTGTTTTTACAAAACAACAACGTTGTGTGTTTATGTGTATGTCTTAAAAGCACTGAGAAACCTCTAGAAGGATGCACACCAAACTCTTGGCAGTGGTTACTCCTGGAGGTAGGGGTGAACGGGCAGGAAGACGTTCCCAGTGACAGAAGGAGAGAGGGAAAGAGAAAAATAAGAGTAACCCTTTTGGATGAAAAAAGAACAAAAAGGCAGGCACGTCAGGGGTCTGATATCCCTCTCTCTGCCCTCTATGCTCAGTGGAAGCTACCATCTTGGACTGTGTTCATAATTCCCTTAATATCCTCTCAGTTTTTTACAAATACATAAATCCTGAACTAATATACTGCAAGACTTCTAAAACACGCAGTACCTAACTACTTAGTCAGGGGCGCTGACCTCTTTTCCCTTAGGTTGTCAAATAAAAAATGACAACAGCCAACCCAACAACAGCCATCTGGTGTGAATGAATCAAATATACCGTTGGCTTGTTTTGGTTTTCAATTTTAAATATGTGCACCATCATTATGATTCCTTCCATGGGGGCTTCCCTTCAATATTATGCCTTAGAGACCTGTTCAGTCTCTAAGGCCCCATCATCAATGTTCACTGCTGTGCAGAACTCCACCATCTGCCCAGGCCACACACTGCTTATCCACTCCAATGGCAGACACATGGACTGTTTCCAGTTTAGTGCTGTTATGACCAATTCTGCTCTGTTGCTGCCCAAGTCTCTAGAGCACATACCTAGGGGTAGAATTTCTGTGTAGTAGAGTGCGTGCATGTTCAACTTCACTAGGAAATGCTGAGCCGTTTTCCAAGCTCATTTCAGCACGTTACCCTCCCAGCAGCACTAAATGGATTGTCATTCCTCTCCAACCCGCCCGCCATGATGCGATGCATACATAGTGTCTAACCTTCCAATGTGTCCCAACAGGATGGGGTGAAGCAGGGTCTCTTCTTGCTTTTAGTTTATATTTCTCTCATTATTCATAAGGCTGAGCATCTTTTTTTATGTGGGTGGGCCATTTATGCTCTCTCTTCTTCCCCCCCCCTTTACAACAGAGGTTAATAATCACTTTTCCTAAAAGGCCAGATAGCAAATATTTTTAGCTTTGTGGGCCATGTAGTTTCTGTCACAATTATTCCATGCTGCCATTGTAGCCCCAAAGCAGACACAGGCAATATGTAAATGAATGGGTGTGACTGTGTCCCAACAAAACTTTATTTTAAAAATCAGGAAGTGGGCTAGATTTTGGCCCGTGGCTTCTAGCTTGTCCTGATTTATGGAATTTCTGTATATATTCTGAATAGGAGCACTTTTTTAGGTGTAATAAATATCTTCCACTAGTATGTGGCATGTCTTTTCACCTAGTGCAGCAATTTCAACCTTTTTCACCTCATGGCGCACATAAACAATTCTGCAGTGCACCAAAAATATATATATATTTTTACTGATCTGACAAAAAAATAGGTATAATTTTGATTCATTCATACTAGATGGCTATTGTTGGCTATTGTCATTTTTTATTTGACAACCTAAGGGAAAAGAGGTCAGTGCTCCTGACTAAGTAGTCAGGTACTTCATGTTTTAGAAGTCTCACAGCACACTGATTGAAAATTGTTGATCTTGTGTATCCTATTTTTGATGAATGGAATTTCCTCTTTTAATTCTTATTTTTTAAACAATGAACAAGATTTGCTGAAACCCGGTATCTGCCTGTGTTTATTTTCCATCTTCCCCTCAATATGATCAGGGTCTTCTGGGAGTCCAATGGGAGAGCATCTAATAAAAAAGTATCTAATTTATGGACAGATGACATCACCTCGGTGTGCAGGTTGAAAAACAAATACTGAGCGCTCTCAAGAGTGGCCCCCTCTCCCCACATCTGGGCAGCACTGCCTGCTCCGGCGAAGAGCCCACAAGGCCTCCGGGATAGAATATTCCCCCCACAGAGACACTGGGAGTACTCACCTGGTTTGATGGGCTGCCTGTTGGAGAAGGTCAGAGGTGCGATGAGGAATTTGGTCTCTGCAACTGGCACCCAGTGGTGGAGAATTTTCACTGTCCAGACCCCAGGCCTCAGGGGCAAGTTCAACGGGGGTTTGTAGTGGGTGAATTCAGCTGTGGACTCAATCAGGATGTCGTAGGTGGCTGCGATGACATTGACGGGATCCACCCACACGACGGTCACGGTAACGTTGGGGCCCTTCCCCCATTTCTGCATGCCCACGGGCTCATCCATGGGCCCCAGGAGACCTCCAAAGTTGCGGAAGAGCCGCTCCTTAGCATCCCAGTCAGTGCCAACCTGAAACAGAAGAGCGAGTTCTGAAATCACTGAGCCTGAGCTAGGGGGATGGTTCCCAGAAAGGCCTAGGATCCGGCTTACTGGGTTTCATACACCCATTTTACAGATGGAGAAATGGGAAAACTGAGGCTCCAATTAAGCATGCTCCAGGTCAGAGAGGGAGTGAGCAGAAGATCTGGGATTTGGAACCAGACTGGGGGATTACAAGACCTGTGATCTGTTCGCTAAACCTTTGGCCCTCTTGTTCCTGGCACATGGTGTGTGCTTTGGGAAAAAATGCGAGCTGAATGAATGAATCCCTGCTGGCAGGCCGTTCCAAGGAAACATGTGCCCTGCCATTGAACAGGTACAGCTGGTTTCCGTTTTGCTCCTTGGTTTTCCAGATTATGTGCCTCCATTTAGTATGACTGTTCTGAACAAGACTGGAGCTCAGCTTTCGAAGCTCCCATTGTCATAAGCTAGAAAAAGAGAGGGTACCTCAGCATCACCTGTCATTTGTAAGAGTTCACATGGGCTTTCCCAGAAAGAGATAGCTCTGCAGCTCTGGCCTCCATAAAGCATTCTGAGCTATACCCGAGAGATGGGAGACGGTTGTACAATCCATCCTTCCTGCCAGCCAGTGGATTCATGGCTTTGATGCTCCACGAATCCACTCTTGTCTTCCCTCCTTCCACATTTGTCACCTGCAGTCTAGTCTTCACACAATAGCCAGAAAGACCTTCTGAACTGTCCTCAAACTGCTCAAACCCCTATGCATGGGTTCACTGCTCTCTCAAGGTGCCTAGCACTGTGCTTGGCATGCAGCAGGTGCTCAGTCAATATCTATTGAGTGAATGACTTGACAAAAAAATGAATTAACTGCAGAGACCCCTGCTACTGAGCTCTGCTGCTATTTCAAATGAAATTAAATTAGAGCCTTCTGCTCCCCAGGAGTTTTAATTTAATGCTTTTGAATACACAGCACGGGGCATACTGGTAGTAGATAATGAAGGACACTGTAAAGCTTACACTGCTTCTGTAGTCGTTCCATGACCAGCATTTCCAATGTGTATATCTGCAGGTCAGGGTGCAGGTAAGGGCATAAACATCTACACTCTGAGAAGAATCCACATGTACGGTACAGACAGGAGTTGGTTTACCTTCTCCTTGTTCTTACCAAGAGTCACTGTGTCCATTCTTTCCCAAGAACACAAAGCTGCATGGCTAATATGTACCGAGGGCTCATACCAGGCATCATGCTAAATGCTTGGATGCATCAACTCATTTAACACTCACTTCCAGCTGCACAAAGCGGAGACTCTTGTCATTATCCCCATTTTACAGGTAAGGAAACTGAGGCTCAGAGCAGTGAGATAACTTGCTATGGTCAGTGAGGGGGCAAAGTCAGCAGGGGGGACCCAGAAGTCTGAACCCAAAGGCTGCTTGTGTTCTCATCTACTCTTCTGTGTATGGCCTCCCATTCATTCATTCATTCATTCACCCAACACATATGTACCAAATGCCTACCATCTACCGGGGGGACTGTTATGCAGCATGCACATTGATAGGCCTACAGCTTGCTTCAGGTTTCTGTCTTTAGACCACAGCCTGAAGAGTGGTCCTAAGGGTAGCAGAGGTAGTAACTGCTGTGACATTTCTGCAGGGGCACCATCCCTCCCAGACTTGTGAAATCTTGGCATTTTTTGCCACGCTATGGATCAGCGGGGGCTGGCTACTTCTGAGGAGCCCTGCTGTATAGCACACTGGCTGGAACGCATAGGAATGAAAAGATACTACTGACTTAAAAAATAAATGAATGAGGGAGCAGGAAGGAAGCTACCCCTCAAAGTCTTAGAGATTTTTCTAAAAAACCCTGCCATCTCACATGCAGCCCTTTTTAGCATCTCATTGTTCTGAAGTCCAGTCTCTCACTCTGTCCTGCAAGGTCTGGTCCTTTGGGGTCCACTCTGTTTCTGCCCCTCTCTCTGCCCTCCACTCGCCCCCCACTGCAGAAACACTCCCAGGGCCTCGTGGAGAAGGGCTCCTGCTCGCCTCTGGTCTTGCATCCATGCCCGCCTCCCTTTGCACAGTCTCTGCCTTACTTTCCCCACCCTCTTCCTGACCAGCCCTTACTTATCATCCAGACCTCAGTCAGGGGGTCACCTATACTGGGAAGCCTTCCCAGCTTACAGGCTTCACTGAGATTCTGGTACTTTTCTAAGCATTTGCACACTGTAGCTTTTTTTTTTTTTTTTTTGTACAGTATTGCAAACTTTAATTTACTCTCTCTCCCTAGCTCAACTGTCAACTCCATGAGGGTTGGTACAACATCCCGCTTGTTCATCCATGTATCTCTAGTGGGCAAAGCAGTGTCGAGCACATAGTAGGTGCTCAATATATCTCTACCTCTGTATTTATCTAATTATCCATTGCTCTACCCATCTATTGTCTATGTCATGACTAATTAGGGGCTGAGCCATGGACACCCTTATGCTCCCAGGCCTTACACACAGTGACTTCCCCACAGACACTGACCAATGGACTGATGGTCACAAAACTGCATGAGGGTTCTTCTTCTGGAAGGGATTATTTATGGGTTAGGGGAGTGTGGGGACACTCCAGGATTCATCTTTGGATCCTCCATAGAATTGGGGGTAAATAAATCTCTGAAGTCTGAGTTCTACAACCAAACCCATGGGCAGAGGAGTTGTAAAGTGGCTGACGGTGGAAAACCTAGGTCTTGTTTCTAAGCTTTGAGAGGAGGAGGAAGTCAGCTGCCAGCCCGAGCATGAGTGGGGCGGGTCTGCCTGAGGTGGGGCCCTGTTGCTGTCACATTCTCACCATTGCTCTGGGAGTCCATACCAGTCACTACAAAATGATCAATTGCTCATATGTAAGCACATGTTCAAGTTCAAGCTTCACAAGTTTCTCCGCAGCTTCAAATCCATGAAAGCCTTCGCATGACACTTAAAATACAATCCAAACTTCTTTCCAGGGCCTGTAAGACCCCTTATGATTTGTCCCCTGCCACCTCAAAGAGCTCCCTCCTATCACTCTCCCTCTCGCTTACTGTGCTTTGGTCACACTGGCCTTGCTGCTCTGTGAGTCCTGCCTGGAGCCTCAGGGCCTTTGCACATGCTCTTCTTTCTCCTAGAAGATCCAGGAACACTCCAGATCTTTTACAGTTTTCAGCTCTAAAATTATTTTTAGAAAAGCTTTCCCAAATGAATCATCCTTTTGAAAGCAGTCCTCATCAGCCTCTCGAGTCCTCAGCAATTACATGAATGGAATTTTTATTTTCTTTGTATAGTACTTGTCATTAGTTGAAATGTTTCCATTTATTTGCTCACTCATTGGGTGGCCCACTTAGAGAGCAATTCCATGACAACAAGGGTCTGGTCTGTTCCTTCTGCACCTCGCATATAGCAACGTGGTGACTCTCCAGGCCACTGGCACAGGACTCCCACGGGATGAAGAAATCTCTCGGAGCTGCCCACCTGCTGTGAGCCAGGCCCTATGCACAGCCCCGGGACTATGCCAACACGAGGGAGCTCCTCCACAGTCTGCAAAGTGGCCCTGCAACCCCTTCCCTCTTTCTTGTCCAATTTTACAATTGCCTTAAAGTTAAGGCTTTAGAAAAAAATTCGAAATACAAGATTCAGGGCTCCCCTTGCATTACATTTTGGTACTCTGCCAAAAATCTTGGTGGCTGTCACACCAAGGGTACCATAGCTATAGTAGGAACCCTCACGAATCTCCAGCCACAAGTAGCCAGCATCATTTGTCACTGCCAGAAGCGCCCAGTTTCCCAATGGCAGGCTGATAAACAGGGGGAGCCCAGTCACCAGGCATCCATCTCATTAATGGGACATTAATGTCTTCAATTGGCTGCTTGGGCACCTAGCACAGACTCCAACTGGGGCAGCGTCTAATTGCCCCCTGGTGCCAGTAATTTATGGAGCGGGCTCCCCTTGCAGCTCAAATCCAGCCAACCCACTTGGAACCTTAATTGGAAATGGCGGCTTCATAAGAAACTCCCATCTGTGCCTGTTCAGTGCCTATTCAGTGGGGCACGGGTCAGCCAGGTGGGGCTACAAGGGGCTGGAAAAAGACTGGGTGGGACACTTAACCCCAGCCCACTCCCATCTCTCAAGATTCTGCATATTCTAAAATTGACCCCCAGAGCCAAACTCACTGGGGGTGCTTAACTCCAGGGATGAATCATTGTTTTAGCCACTTGCTGTTGCAGGGAAGGCAGAAATCACTGGAGGAGTTTTGTGTGGGCAACCCTCACCAAGCTTGATCATGTTCCCCATTCCTTCCAGTGTCACAAGCCAAGTGCAGGCACTCATTCATCCAGAAATCTTATTTAGCATCTATAAATGCTACACACTCTTCTATGTGCTGGGCATACAGCAGTGAGTGAGAGTGATACCATCTTTGCTCTCCTGCAGACAATCTCCAAGTGATCAGAGAAACCAACAAGAGGATGTTAGATGATAAATGCTTAGAGAAATAAATAAAATAAGGGTGCGTCAGGTGGAAAATGTAGCTATTGTGGCACAAGTTGCTGGGCAGGGAAGGCACATCATTTGGATCTAGATCAGAATGACCACCACCCCAGCAAATGGTGAAAGGTTAAGGGAAAGCACTCTAAGCAGGAGAATCAGCACATGTCAGGCCTGAGGTAGGAAAAAACTTGACATGTTTGACAAAGACATAACAAATGTGAATGAGGAGGAGAGTGGTTCTGGATGAGGCTGCAGAAGGAGGCAGAGGGCAGATCAGGTCTGGAGGTAGGGCTGATGTTACAAGGGTAGTGCTGGATAAATCCATCTCCTCAGGCAGAAAGCTGATGCTCTACTGGAGAGGTAGAAACTGTATTTCACAGATCCATGCGTCCATGTACCAGTCCCTCTGTCCAATCACTGACACATCATCCATCCATCCCTCCACCTATCAGTCCACCCATCCATTCATCCGTCCACCCATCCATCAATCCATTTACCCATCTGTCTGTCCATCCATTCATCCATCCATTCATCCATCCATCCACTCATGCATTCAACGATTGATCTGGTATTTACTTTAAGCTAAACCCTGTGTTAAGAACTGGGGAGGCAAAAGCACAATTAAGTATGAGATTTGTAGGCTATAAGACATTGGTTCAATTTTGAGCTCTGCCACTTCCTAGCAATGATCTAGAAAATCACTGACTCTCCATAGGCTTCAGTTTTCCAAAATGTAAATGGGACTAACACCTCTACTTACTTCACTAGGAAACTGGTTTGTTATTGTCCTTTTACTAACGCAAGCGTAGGAGGACTTACCAGGTAGAATAAAAATGTTCAAAGAAATAGAAATTCTACTACAAAAAACAGACCAGGGCTCCAGGTTGGTTTGGTCCACTGTCCCTCTCCTCCTGTCCTAAGATGTCGGTTCCAATGTTTGGCGCTGGAGAACTTTCTCCAGGCACGGGGCGAACTTATCTCTGGAGCTCTCCAAGTCCCCTTCTCCATCTCCTACTGCAGGTGTCAGATGATGGAACAGGACCCAGCGAGGGGGATGCAAAAGGCAGTCAACATGACAAGGTCTGGTCTCTTACCTCGGAAAACTGAAGCCTCCCAAAGTCGCTGGGTGGGCTGGCGATCTTGAAGACTTTCTTTGGCATCACCCATGTCTCCAGCGTCTCGAGTTTGCTCACTGCCAGATTTGTAGCATGATGCTTGATCAGAAAGCCCTGGAAGCGGTCAGCAAGGAAGTAGAGGTGGACAGAGGCTGGGTGGCCCATTGGATAGTACCTGAAAAACATGCACCGTCTCATAGAAGCTCATGGGTCAGGGTGGAGGTGTGCAGGCTCACAATGGGGTGCCACCCATTATGCTGGTCCTGTTCCTAAAATAAACCCCATTTTATACAATGCTTATCATATTCCTGAAAGCTGCCACCTTGTATCTATGATTTCAATAACTATTAACAGCTTTTTGGTGGATTATAAATGTAAAGTATGCTGACTGTACAAAAGCACAAAAAAGAAAATGAAAATTGCTACTTTTGATGCTTCTTTTCATAGATGATGTCAATTCATAGATATTTATTGACCCTCTGGTGCTAGGTACTAGGAAATAATAATAGTGTGCAAACAATGTCATATTGACATATTTCCCTTCGGCCTTATTTTCTATGCATATATTTGCATAAATCTTACATAGCTGCGATCATAATATACACACTGGTTATATCCTGCTTTTGCTTCATAGTATTTCCTGAACATTATCACATTTTTGAAAATTCTCTGAAAACATGATACACATCATTCCACTGTATGTAATGCTGTATTTTACAAAGCAAGTTCCCCATCACTGGCTGTTTAACTGGATTCTAATTTTTTGGCCAGTCTAAAAAATACTGCATGAAACATCCCTGAGCAAAAATGGCTTTTGGAACATCTGTCTCTCTAATCTCGAAGGGGCTGTATATATGTCTACCATCCAACTTCATCAAAAAGGTGTACTGATTTATGTTCTCACTGTCTGTCTCAGTCGCGGCATTGGGTATTATCCTTAAAAATTAATCCAAGATCCATATATTCATACACCAAGAGACAGCTGTTGTTTTAAGATGCATGTCTTTGATTCACGAAGGTGCACTGGGAGAAAGGGGCCAAGAAACTGAGCAGAGATGCCCCAGGAGGGAGCGAAAGGGGGAGGAACTTTGGAGGAGCCCAGCTTTGTCTTTCCTACTTGTAAAATAAAAGACTGCCAGCTTCTGCAATGTGTAAATTGCACAGCACTTAGAGGGTGTTTGTGGCTCCTTAATAACAGCGTTCCACAAATCACTGTTCCTGCTCAGCCTCCTTCCTTCTGGTCCTGATCTGGAGCTTAAATCTTTATGTCTAATTATAATGGTTAGGGAAGCCGCCTTCCTGTGTTTACGCATCTCTGGAAATCACTGCCTAGTTACTGAGATGCCTACAGGGCTCTGAGAAAAAAAGCACACACCCTCTTCAGACTGCTCGTTGGGTATCATGGCTCACCAAAGTCTGCTTTGGGTCTGGACTTTGGGAGTAGAAAACCCTCGCTTGCCTGGACGGTGCTGCAGGCCTTTGTGCCGTGAAGAGACGGTTTATAGCTGTGTTCTCCAACACAGTAAGCCACTAGCCACTTGTGACTACTGAGCACTTGAAAGGCGACTGGTCTGACTGACGAACTGACTTTTTACTTTCATTTCATTTTCATTCATTTAAACTTAAATATCCATGAGTAGCTACTGGTAACAATACTGGACAGCATAGATAGTGTGGTAGTCTTGTGGTCGCCTGTGTCCATGTCTCCAGTTCTTCCGCTCTCCTGTTTCTATACCTCTTTCCACGTGACTTGGCAGGTTTCCCTGGCCCGATGAGGCAGACTCTGCTTCCTCATTCCTGAATCTGCTCTGGCCAGCAGAAGGTGGTGGGAGGGGGGTCATGCCGTTCCCAGCTGGGCCTCATGAAGCCTTGCACATTTCCTCTCTTGCTCTTTTGGGATGATGGCATGCCTTTGCAGACCAAGGGAGGATTTAATATCACAAACATTAAGCAAAACCACCTGTAGTAATTAGACAGGAGACGGTGGATATGGCTATTACGAGGTTAAAGTGGACAAAAGTAGGAGGGAGACAAGCAAGGAAGCTCCTGCAAAAGTCCAGGTAAGGCATGGAGGTGAACTGGACCAGGATGCTGGCAGTGCACAGGGCAGCAGAGGATGGATTCAGGTGGAGACAGCAGGATTTTTTGATAGAAGAGGGGCAAGAGCAAGCCAAGATTAACTCCTCGGTTAACTGGGAGCATGCCTGGGTTAGTCCTCAGCAGGATGAGATACCCGGGGCAGAGCAGAGCCACTCCAGTGGTCCCAGCCAAGAACAGCAGAGCCCTGCTCCCAGCTCGCAGTGGGCTGCATATTCAGGAGAGATGCCAGATGAGACCAGGAACACGGCCCAACTGACTTACAAACTTGAGCTCTACGTCAAGTCAATGCGTATCACTTCAAAACACTGATTTGGGGCTTTTTTGTTATGTGGTACTGTTGCTGTAGCTAAATAATGCACTGTCCACGTTTGTTCTGTAAGGTGGGTGGGGTCAGGGAGGGTGGAAGAAGAAGAGGACAGCTTGCTGGCATGGGAGTCAGAAGAAGAAAGTGTTTCCAGAAGGGAGTAGTCAATTGTAGGGGCTGCACCTAAGGGGTCTAGGAACTGAGCAATGGTCAAGCACTCTAGAAACTGAGGAGGCAATCTTTAATTGCCTGCTCTCCCTCTGCTTCTATCAAGAAATCCTGCTGTCTCCACCTCTACTCCCCATGTGCACTGCTAGTATCCTGGTCCAAGCCACCACCACACCGTACCTGGACCTTTGCAGGAGCTTCCTTACTTGTCTCCCGCCTACTTTTGTCCACTATAACCTCATAACAGTCCTATGCACTGTCCCCTGCTTAAATACAAGTGGCATTGCTGAATGTTTATGAAGAAATCCAAACCCCTTACCTGGTCTTCTAAGCCGTGCCTCTTTCTCTAGCCCGCTGCCCCAAGCCACCACCTTTGAGCCACATGGACCTCATTTTGGATTCTACATAGACATTATTTTGGATTCTTGAACACACTAAGCCCATTTCCATCTCAGGGCCTTTGCACAGGACATTCTCTGTGCTGGGAATGCTCTTCTTCTCTTAGGCTACATGGCTGGCTCTGTCTTACCATGTTGCTTAAATGTTACCACTGAGATCTCTCCTGACTGCTGAATCTTAAGTCACCGATTCATTGCTGTCACATGACTTTACCTTCATTCTCAGCAAAGCATTTATTTCTACTGGTCTTGTTTACCGGTGCTTAGACACCGTGTGTCTTCACATAGAATGGGAGGGCCCTGAACTCAGGGGGATGGCCTATGTGCATCAGAGCTGAATGCCCAGCACCTAACACAGAGCCCGACACATGGTAGATACTCAACTAATATTTGTTGATTGAGAGAAAATTCTAGAAGGATTTTCTCTTGAATTATTTGCTTCGGAGGTACATCTAGGATACACGTAACCCAGGACTGAACATAAAGCCTTCTGGTACTTGTTTTGGCTATATGATACTTGTCTTGGCTGTATGATTTAATTAAGTATAAGATAATTAAAACTAAGAAGGGAGTTTGCTTTAACTAGATGCAATACAACAGAGCCTAAAGGATGCCACAGATGCATTCATTTCACCCAAGGTGATTTTTTTTCTTATTTAAATAAGGGGGCATTGAAAAAATTAGGAGACTCACAAAAATATAGATTTCTGATTTGTCTTGAAAAATGGCTGATTGGTCTTGAAAAATATAGATTTCTGATTAGTCTTGAAAAAGCGTTTACATTCCCACAGGGCAAAAATGGGCTGGAGCTCAGCGCCAGGGGCCACAGGTGCTGCAGGTTGGCACGGTCAGCCCTCGCTGCAGGGCCAGCGCCAGCCGACACATGCTACTTGCCTGGCCCAGGAGCGCATTTGAATTTGAGGACTTGAACTAAAATACAGACATCTTTATCTCCGGAGGGTGGCTCACAAGCGAACTTTATTTTCTTGTTCTCTCAGTCTGCCATTTCAAAAATTTCTGCAACAAGCATGTGTTATTTTATAATGATGAAAAAATCAATAAACATTATTTTTATGAAAGGTTATGCCACAGACTGGAAAGACACAATTTGCATGAAGTGCCCAAAGGAAATGAGACTCTTGAAAGAAAGTTTTCATTTGCTGTTTCCCCAGATACCCTAGAGGTAGGAATTTACTCTGTTTTGCCTTTTGGGATAAGGGTCCTTTGTCCTGATTTATTTTCAGGCTCATATTCATAAATATATCGGCTTTGCCCACAGCAAGGCACAGTGCCTCTATTATAATAAAAAATGAGCGAGAAGTCAGAGGATTCCATACCGGAGGCACGTGAAGGCTCGCTTAACCCCAAAACCAGTACTGGGAGAAAATTTCAACAACCTTAAGTAAACTGGAAGTGTCTTTTGGAATTTCCTATAAGATCATTTACCTTATAAATTCTAAGAAGCCTGGGATTAAAACTATTCATGAAAGACATGCAGCTCCCAAGTGCGGCACTGGGCTCGGTCCTGGGGATGCCAGTGTGGCTCAGGGGGCAAGGATTCTGCCCCAAGACAGCAGGGGGACAAGATCTTCACTGTGGACCCTGACCCAAGGCACTGCTGTGCCATGCAGTGGGGAGGGCTGGAGTAAGTCGGAGTTACCTCAGCTTGGGAGAGGGAGGGGGGGCTACCAGAGGATGTGGCACTTGAGGTGGCTGGATCTCGAAGACTGGGAAAGGGCAGGCTGTTGTGGGGACAGTGGGGGCGGTAAGCAAAGGACAGCACAGAGGGAACAATGAGCAGGTCACATAACTGGTTACAGAGCATGTAGCTCACACACTAGGTTCCGTGTTGACTTTGGAAGCTTAATAATAATGGCATGAACATTTACTAAGCACTTTGTATGTAAAACACTGTTAAAATGGGGATAATAATAATACACATAAGGTTGCTTTTGAGGATTATCTCCTTTGACCTCAGAACACCGTATGCTGTAAGGCTTATTATTATTCCCATTTTAAAGATGAGGAAGCTGAGGGTCAGAGGGGTTAATCACTTGTCCCAGGTCAACAGGCAGTAAATGAGAGTTGAGTTCAATCTTCAGGCTCTGGGCTCCCAACCCACACTGGGCTTTCTTTAAACTAAGTCGGAACCTGCAGGGAGAGGAGAGAGGGCTGGGGCCGTGAAGAAATAAGGCAAAGCTGTGGGAACCCTGCAGAAACCCTATGTGTGTGAGGTCCCAGTCAGGAAACTTTCCCATGTTTTCAGGATTTTAGGCCACAGTGTCTGAGGAGAGGGGGGTGGCTAGGGAGAGCTGGGCACACAGGGGAAGCCTCGGGGAAAGAGACGGATGCTAATTTTTTTTTTTTTTGCTTTAAAAAAAAGGAGGTGGGAGGAGGAAAAGGGAGAACAAGAAAGAGGAGAGTGATTAGAGGCACTTCTGAAAAACAGCCTAAAAAAATAATCAGAAGGAAAAAGGAAGAGAAAAATGAAGAGCCTTTCTACAAAAAGATATTCATCAGGACATTGTTTACCATGGCTCATTACTGACAATAGCAACAGGAAAGACTGGATTAAGCAAACTCTGGAGTTTCTTTCTACTCAGTGGAACACTAGCAGCCTTGAAAAGGATTATTAGCATCATGGAAGCTGCAAAGCAGCGGGAAAGGGGGCTAAGGGGGGTAATATTACAGGACACTGAATTCTTGTTGTGAATATGTAAATATCTGTAACGTACATTGCTAGAGAAGAGAAGAAAAGCCACACAAAACAAAAAGGGCTGTTTGGCCTAGGGAAAGACAGAGGAGGGGAGGAGATTATGTTGAAGTATTTTCCTACCTTTCCCTCTTCTTTCCATTCATTCTAGAACAGTCTTTCGTCAAGTGTCAAGTGGCAGATGAGAGGATTCTAAGTGATACCTGAAGGGGTACCTGAACGTCTTAAATAACAATTTGGCATTTTGATGATGTCTTTGTTTATGTTTTTAGGTGTGATGATGATAGTATGGTTATGTTTTAAAATGGAGCCTTTACTTTTCAGATATAAATGACAATGTTCACAGCTGAGATGATGTGGTGTCTGAGACATGCCTCAGTCACATGGATCCAGGAGAAAGCGGCAGGGAAGCAGGCTCGGCGGAGTGGGTCACTGCTACAGCTGGGCGATGGGAGCTCTTGATTTTAATGTATTTGACATTTTCCATACTATAAAGTTAAAAAAGAGTTCTGTATTTCCATGGTTACCTTCCATTTAAGACAAACAGAACTATATAATATGGTGATACAGAGCTTCCTTTTTTTTAAAATCCTTGCTCAAGGATATGTTTATCCATTTTAGAGAGAGAGAGGGAAGGAGGAGGAGAGGGAGAGAAACATTGATTGGTTGTCTTCCATATGTTCCCTGACTGGGGCTTGAACCCACAACCCACGTATGGGCCCTGACCTGGAATCAAACCCTCAATCTATTGGTACAGAAGACAATGCTACAAGTAACTGAGCCACTTGGCCAGGGCTAGAGCTTCCTTTTAAAATACATATGCTTAGCATAAAGAATGAGTCCACTGAAAGGAAATAATTGGGTAAATATTAGATCTGGTATTCTGAAAGGGTAAAATTCTGACGATGGCTTAGCTGGGCCATGCTTTGAACGCTGGGATGGTTGCATAAGTGCTTTTTAGGCGAAGGAAAAGAAGGAGAAGCATGGCGTTCAGCCCCTAACACAGAGGATGGTCTACATCCTTCCCGGTCCAGTTCCTGTCCCTCCCCAACCTTCCGGTCCTCCCCATGGCTCACCGGCAGCTGTTCTCCCCGTCTGTGTGCAGCGAGGTCTCAGCCCGCCGGAGGCCCAGGCGGGCGAAGGAGTGGTACAAGGTGAGCATCACATCACTCAGGCTGTGGATGCCATCGGGCTCGTCGTAGACATTCTCCCAGTAGGAGCGGAGGCCAGGGGTGCCTGCAGGGTAGTTCCCGTACAGATAATAGTCCAGCTGCCCAATGATCTCCTGATTCACCACGGCTTCAAACTTGCGGGCAAAGAAGGTGGGTCTGGCTGTCTGCTGTGCTCAAGGGATAAAAAGATCCTGGTCAACAGTGGGATGGGGGTGAGGGGGCTGGAGCACAGCTCTGCAGCCAGGTTGCCGGCATCCAAATCCCATCTCTGACACTTCCTAACCTCTCTGTTCTCAGTTTCTTCCTCTGTAAAATGGAGACAATAATAAGGGTGTCAAGATGGAAGGAGTTAATATTTTTAAACCTTTTGGAGCACTGATGGACACCTGGTAAGCATCATGTAAACGTCTGGTAAATAAATTACACCGCAGTGTTTATAACTGGGATGGATCTCAGAAATCATTTAGCTGGAGTTCTAGGGCAAATACAGCCTATGGATGTATTTTAATTGTCTAGCAGAGTGTTTTAAAATTGAATTAGCTGGCAATATTTAAAAAGTAGAAGAGTTCACAGAAACAATTATTGACTTCTCTTTAAACAGAAATAGATCTAGCAACCCCAGGCCCACATTCCTGCACGGTAACAACTGGTTAAAGCTGAAAAGCAGCTGCCCCATTAGATGGGCATGGTTTCTTCAGCTCGTGACAGTCCCCACCACTCCCTGTTGCCTCCTGGGCATTGCAGCAGCGCCGGCATCTGTGGGGATGAGATTTAGAAATCTGTGTCCAATAATGCTCCCCTGGTAATTATGATGCAGTGTTTGAAGACCATTTATGTAAGCCCCGTTTTCAGGGAGACTGAGGCCCAGAGAGGGAAATGGGCTTATCTAAGGTCACACAGCAAGGTAATGGCAGAGACAGGATTAATATCCAGGGTCCAGGATTAAAGAAATAAAATACTGAGCATGTGCTCTGAACCAGGTCTTATACTATGGTCTGTGTGGGGATCAACATGCTTTTTTAGTAAAGGACCAGATAATAAATATTTCCAGCTTTGCAACTATTCAGCTCTGCTGTTGTAGCACAAAAGGAGCCATGGACAAAGCAGTAAATGAATGGGTGTGGCTGTGTTACAAGAGAATTTACAAAAGCAGGCAGTGGGCTGCATTTGGCCCAGATTAGTTTGCTGACCCCTGTCTAGGGCTACAGAAACAATTCAAACACAGCCCCCTCCCTTGAGGAGCTTATGGTCTAGTGTTACTATTGACTTACATTTGGGTCTAGCACTCTTTCTGTTGCTGTGGATAAAAAGCAACAGTAAGGACAATAATGACTACTGAGCACACACTAGATGCAGAGCATTGAGGTTATGTCATCACCTCTAATGCTCCCAACAGCGCTACAAAGCACAGGTTATAATTCCTATTTACAGATGAGAAAACTGAGCTCAGAGGGGGAGGTGATATGTGCAAACTCATACAGTCATTAAGATTTGAACCTGAATCTGATGCCCCTTAAACCCACACTCTTTTGGACTGTGTTGTCCTAGGATCCAGCTACTAATGGAGTAAACTGAAAGCTCCTAATAACAAATATCTTTTGTATTATTGCGAACATCCCATCGCTTCTCTGCTTCATAAATCCTTGGGACCTCCCGCCTCTGTGGTCAGTTCAGTTCCCTTACAGTAGCACTGGAAAGATAGACCACCTGGGTTCAAATCCTCACTCTGCTACTTTCCAGCTGTATATATCTTTTGACAAGTCACCCGGAACCTCCGCTTCTTCGTCCTTAAAATGGGTATAATATAGGTACTTAGCATAGAGCCTGGCACACAGTGGTAGTTGATAGTATTATGTGACCATTATCACTTCCCCCTTGAGCCTACTACCAGGGGCTTCTAAGTCTTTGTATTCTGGGGGCAGAACACACCAGACTCAATGGCAGGACAGCATTCTTTCCTCTTCCATGATTCTTTGATCATAGCTGGATCTTCTAAAAGGGCATGCTTCTATATTTATTGTTCTCTTTCTCGGAGTTCCTTCAACAAGAACTCTGAGTTCCTTACAGCCAGCAGCTTCTTGATTCTAGATGTTGCGGGATATTCTTGATCTCTGCTTATTGTGAAAGAATCAGCACACGATGCTGTCTCTGTGTTAGCCAGTCTTTATCAGAGATCGCAATGTGTGTGAGACACTGCTGCCTACAAGTGGCCTGAGAGGGCCGAGCTCCTAAGAACCACCACGTCTACTGGCTCTAAATGATGAGGTCCTTTACCATGAGGGCAATGACTGGCCCTGTACAAAAGTGGAAATTCTTTTTTTATTCTTTTTGAATAGGTCAAACATCCCCCCTGGAACCCTCTTTCTGCTCAGCAGGTCCTTTCTGCATGGACAACAGAGCAAAAATGTCACCCAAGTTTATGCCTAAATTCACATGGGCATGACGAGGTCCCTGGGTAGTTTTCAATCTGCCACCAAATAAAAGGGTCTAAGAAAACACTCCAGCAGCAACCACTTACAGAGCGAAGGCATTAGGTGGGGACCTTGAAGGAATATAAATCTTGAGGGACGGAATCTGTTGTGTTCTGCACCTGTGCAGACACAAAACCAGGAAGCACTGGTATAAGAAGCCCAGAACTGGAACTGGAAACACATGTGTGGGACCTTCAGCCTTATCACTCCATTACAGGGGTGTCCATGGGCAAGTGAGCTTGTCCCTCAGTGCCTCAGTTTCCCCACCTGCACAATGGTGATGATGTCTACCCAGTAAAGCCCAGGCCCACAGTGGGAGCCGGGAGGGAGCAGATACCTACCCCTGTGTTTCTCAACCATACAGAGCCTCCCAGTCACCTGGCGATCATGTTCACAGGCAGACTCTGAAGCTGCAGAGACTGTACATTTCTAACACACTCCCTGAAAACTCTGATGCTGCTGGTTGGCGGACCATGGGCAGCCAGCTCAGTTATGTGCCGGCGTGAGTCGGCAGGGGCACCTCAGGTTACCAGCCTGGCCCTGCTGTCCCCACCTTCCCTCTGGCTTAGCGGTTTGGGAAGCAGCATGCCTTCTCCATGTGGTAGTTCTGGTGACCTCAGAGTGATGTGTTTATCTTACAGCAATCTGTTTGTGCTTTCTGCAGCTGGGGTGGTAGCAGCGTGAGGGGAGAGGAGGCAGGAGCTCGGGGTGCTGGCCTGGAGGGAGCAGGAGGGGTGCTCACATGGGATGGAAAGGTCTGGGGCTCATGGGAAGCAGATGAAGTATTTGTCACCCTCCTTCCCCCACTCTCCCCAAAACTGTAAATTACTAGGCCATGCAGATACCTGTGAGGACAACGATGTTTCTACCTCTTGTTACTCCTTCATGTTCACAGTGTGGGGTGGTTTCCAAACCTGGCTGCTCATCAGAATTTCCCAAAGTTGTAAAATATATATTTTAAAGATTTTATTTGATTTTAGGGAGAGGGGAAGGGAGAGGGAAAGAGAGGGTGAGAAACATCAATGTGAGAGAGAAACATCAATTGGTTGCCTCTCATTAAGTGCCCTGACTGGGGACCGAACCTGCAACCCAGCCATGTACACTGACAGGGAACTGAACTGATAACCTTTTGCTTTGCAGGACAATGGTCAACCAACTGAGTCACACAGGTCAGGGCCCAAAGTGGTAGACCTCACTGGAGACCAGTAGTTTGTCCCAGTCAACAGTGGGTGATGCTTGAAGACATGTCTGGTTGTCACAATGAGGGTGTGCTACCAGCTTCTAGTGAGTAGAGGCCAGGGATGCTGCCAAACATCTCAGAACACACTGGCCCAATCCACAGAATAGAATTATCCAGCCACAATGTTAACAGTGCCGAAGTTGAGAAACTCTACCCCAGATAGGCTCAAGTTTGTACCCAGAAATATGTTTTTAACAAGTTATTTCAGGGGATTCTGATTAAAAGGCAATATAAAGAAATGAGTACAAGTATGGCCTTTGGAAACAGATACTTTGGGCTAGGTGACCTTGAACAAGGTTTTTGATCTTCCCATGCCTCAGTTTCTCTATTTCTAAAATGGAATAAAAATAATAATTTTAATTATCTGCCTACCTACCTAATAATGTTGTTGTAGGGTTAATGAGTAAAGATAGGCAAAGTGATTAGAATTGTCCTGGCATGGAATCATCAAAAGATGTTGGTTACTAGTGATATTATTATGATTATTATCAACAGCCAGGTTGAAAACTAGGGAATAAGATGATCAGTGGATAAAACTTGGATGCCTGCCAAGCCTGGCTGGGAAGACATGGTTTGGGGTCTGCAGGGCAGGGTGGGCTCACCTGGAAGCGGTGGAAGTCCTGGGGCTTGAAGTCGTTGGGAGAGCAGCCGCACCAGTCCACGATGTGCTTGTACTGGCACTTGCAGCCCAGCTTGCGGTTCCAGTTGGTGATGCGCAGGTTGTTGTCCACCATGGTGTCGCAGTGAGGGCTATTCTCCAGGACCGTGTGGAAAAAGGACTGTAGGGTGAGAGGAATCAGCCTGAGACCTCTTCCAACCTCCCTTGAATGCGATGGGGTGGGGGTCCCGCCCTGGGACCACCTGACTTCAAAGGGACTCTCTCGGAGACTCATCTGTTCTTCCCATATATGGGGTCAGTGCCAACCTGGTCCTACTCAGCGTACACTGGATGTTTCATCCAGAGTGGCTTAATTCTGTTCAGAAGTCTAATGTTCTGAATATTTCTCTAATTATCTTTTCCCAGCAGTCTAAAACCCAATTTCAAGGTATCTCTTATCATCCAGGACATCTTCTGTTTACTCAGCAGACAGGAAAAGTCTATCAGGGTATGTCAACCCATGGGGACTAGAGGAAAACATGGGGACAGTTTTTCAGAAAACCTTGGGATCCTTGGTTCTTGCTTTGCAGACAGCCAGGTCTGAAACTAAAGGGATTCATCTCTGAGATCTCTTGAGAAGAAAGGCCAATGCTCTGGAATTTCACCCCTGGGTAAGGGAGGTCAGAGTCATGGGTGCATCAGACCCCAGGGCTGGAAGGCCTGCAGGTGTAGTGTGACTATAACACAGGGAGGTGAAGGGGGTGGGGGTGGGGGTGGGGGGGGGGGCTGCTTGCTGTCCATGGTGCTGAACCAAGCACAAGGGCTTCCCCCAATTCTAAGGCTCTTGGCCCACCTCTCCTAGGAATGTGAGAAAGAAGCAACGTTATGAGTGAAAAGAAAGGCTGGAGAGGAAAGACATCGTTAGAAATGTGGAGAGACAGAGACGGGCGGGGGGCAGGAGAGAGAGAGAGAGACTAACTGGCTTATTTGGACACTTTTATGACAACCCAGATACCAAGCAGATACATTCTCCCCTGCTTTCAGCTCCCCGGGGGGCGGTGCTATTGGGGAACAGGTGTCTGCCTGTTACAAATTTATGGCACAGCCATCATATTTCTTCTGAGCTGGTTCCCTGGAAGTGGTCTAGGAGAAAGGAGGGCAAGAAGGAGGTGCTGGGATGGAGGGGATGGATCTGACACGGACCTGGACTGTAACGTTCCTGTGCGTGCTGCTGCTGGGGTGGGACAGAGAGCGCCAGCACCAGGATAAGCATCTTGATTAAAAGAACCAAAACCCCAGTCTCTTCTCAATGGTTGGGTGGGCAAAATGAGGCTCCACCCATCACCCCCAGGTGACCTTCCCATGATGCTACATGACATGCTGGTGAAGCTGGATTTTAAGCTTGAATTGTCTACAGGTCCACAGAAGCACATATTCTCCATCAAGCGGTGGGAAAAAGTACCCAATTACTGACTGCCCTGTGTCCTTTCATAATGATACAGAAATTCTCTTCAAGATAATGGATGAGGAGGTTATCAGAACTGAGAGAAAAGGTGATTTTCGCTGAAATAGGATTAAAAGCTGATTACTTAACATGTGTGCAGAATAGCAAAACCTGGCCTGGATACAACAAGCCCATCATCCCTATGGAGTGACGCAGGCAGTCAGCCCTACCCGAAGCTTGTCACTGCCCTAGATGTTGGTGGGGGACATGGAAACCATTGAATGAGATGCACTGTCTTTTCTGTCCTAGAGACATGTCACCTGAGGGGTCCAAAGATGGGACACAACCGGAAAGGAACGGTGGGTCATTCATGGGAGGTGTCATGGACTCAACAGAAACAGGACTAGCTCTGGAGTTTTCTGAAGTAGGAAATTAAGAGCTGGAGGTCAGGGAGCTTAACCGAGAATCTTTCAGCTCAGGTCTGATAAGAGGCTGCTGGCACGTCAGTGGCAACACTTTAGCTCTGGGTCCCTACCCATTTTCAGATAGGCCAGGGCTATTTTAGAAAAGTCTCCAGTCTTCTGCAATGGGGCCTCTGAAAAGGACTGAATGTGTCCCCCTAAAATTCAGAGGTTGAAATCATAACCCCTAATGTGATAATGTTAGAAGGTGGGGCCTTTGGAAGCTGATTAGAAAGGAGGGTGGAACCCTCAAAAATGGGGATTGATGCTCTTAGAAAAGGAAGCCCAGAAAGATCCCTAACCTCTTCAGTCATGTGAGAATGCAGTGAAACTGTCAGTAGACAGTCCGCAACCTGGAAGAGGACCCTCACCCGACCATGCTTGGCACCATTATCTTGGACGTCCAACTTCCAGAGCTGTGAGAGGTAAATTTCTATGGTCAATAAGCCACCAACCCTATCGTATTCTGCAGCCCAAACTAAGACAGCTTCCCACCCTGGGGTCTGAAAAGAGGTGATATACTGACTGCCTGCAGCTTTGAAATACTTCCAAAAGCCAACAGGAAATGCTGGGTCCCAAGCATCTTCCCATGAGGACTGTCAGTGTAGGGGGTGTCCTGAAAGGGCCACCATTTACAGTTGTGAATATTATGAATGGCACAATGCTGGTGTGTGTGTGTGGGGGGGGGGGTGCCACCAACGCTGTAGATACCAGAGGTTTGTATTTTTTTAAGTTTTCCAGAAAACGGTAGCAAGTGTCTTGTTCTAACAAAATCTGTATATTGTGACCATTTTTATGACCAATGGGAGCCAAGTGCTTTAAAAAGGGCTGCCTTTTCTATTCTGCACGAAGATGCAGTGGATTGCTGGTGGCAATGCTGCGTCTACTCCACAGAGTCTCCACAGACTGGAGGGGACCAGGGGCGCTGCTGTGACAGTAAGGTTCTGGTAGCCAATGTCATTCTCCACCTTCATCTGGATGTTTGGAGGGCTATATATTGCACTCACCATTGCTTTGCCCCAAATTTAGCATTCGCTTTACTCCAAAGGTTAGAGCCAGCCCTGACCATTCTCTGGCATTTTTTTTCCCTGGACACTTACCTCAGCAGGAAGCAGGGTGTAGGAGTAGAACTGCTTCATTTTAGTCACGAGATCATCTCTAGAGAATGTTACATACTCCACAAACTTCCGGTTCAGTAGGAACCAATCTGAACCACCATCTACAGCAATGCCCTCTGGGATCCGCCGATCCCCCAGGCGCCACATGTGGGCATCGCACTCCAGGAAAAGCCGGTCCAGGCCCTGCTTCCGGATGAACCTGAAAGAGACAGCAAAGTCATTAGCCCAAAGGTACTTCCACCCAGAGTCCAAATGAGATGGCACAATCATGGTGATCAAACCATTTATTAGGCAGTGACTGTGTGCCAGGTACAGAGCCAGGGGCTCCGTGTCTAGTTTGTCACCTGGTCTTCACAAGTGAGGCTGGTCACTCTATCCCTCTGAGGCAGGTACTATTATTACACCCATTGTACAGATGAGGGCACTGAAGCTTAGAGAGTTTAGGAGAATTGCCAAGCACAATTAGATGGCAATGATCATCTGTACATCTACTTTCTCTTTAGGAAACTTTCAAATCATCTTTCCATGCCATGGACACTTTGGTAGCTTAGTAACCATAGCGTGTGGGCACTCATTTCAGAATAGTGTTCTTAAATCAAAACACACTGGATTATAATTTTTTTTTAAAGTTATGCCCTAGCCAGGTGGCTCAGTTGGTTGGGGTGTCATCCCTACACCAAACGGTTGCAGGTTCAATCCTGACCGGGACGTACCTAAGCACACACCTAAGTACCTAGGTTGTGGGTTTGATCCCCAGGTGAGGCACATATGGGAGGCAACCTATCAATGTCTCTCTCTCTCTCTCTCTCTCTCTCTCTCTCTTCCTATCTCTCTAAAAATCAATAAACATATCCTTAGGTAAGGATTTAAAAAAATAGTAAAGTTATGATGTAGTAATTCATGTGCTTTTTGGTTCACACATTAAATATAGGAGTACAAAATATTTCTTAAAGCCCAAATTTATGATAATTATGAGTGTTTCTCCCTTAACACATGAAATAACAAGATCTTGTGGCAGGTCTAATAACCACTGTAATTGTGAGGAACTGGTGAGCATAACTGATATTTAGAGGTAGATGTATCAACTATAATGTGCTAGGAAAATATGTGATTCCTAACAGTTACTGCTCACCTGTGGTTTGTTCTTTATGTTTAGCTAGATTTCAGTTAGAGTTCAGGGAAAATAAAGATCATTTTGTTCCCATTCAAAGTCATGGGCCCTCTCAATTCCATCTATGAACTTCAGATGGACAACTCCAGCTCTAGAGTATATACATATAAATATTTGGGAATTTGCAAGGCAGGCCAGGGAGCACCGGCACTTCCTTTCCTATAAATGCAGGAATCAATGGTCAAAGAGCTGGTAAAACAGGCGTGTGGGGAGACTGGACAGAGCAAAAACCCAGTCTTCTGGCCCAAACTCTGTGCATTTACGATGAGTATTAACTGCATACCGACTATGTGCCAGGCATTGTGCTGGCCCGAGTGCAGGGCAGGGGGAGTGAGGCTGATCCCTGCTGCTCAGAGGCTAGTTACCTAGCTGGGAGCTTAGTCTACAGGTCTCCCAACTCAGGGATCCAGCTGCTCCTCCAGCTCTACAACATGAAATCAAGCATTCGAAAGTGTACAATTTAATGGCACGGTGTTCATTCAAAATGTTGTGCACCAATCATCTCTACCTAGTTTCAAAATGTTTCATCACCCCAAAGGAGACTGCATACCCATTAAGTAGTCCCTGACCATACCCCCCACCCTCTAGCCTCTGGCAACCACCAAACTGCTTTCTGTCCCTATGGATTTACCAATTCTGGATATCTCATATAGAGGGAATCCTGCAATTTGCTGATCTTTTTGTTTGTCTCTTCCACCTACCAGAGTGTTTTCAAGGTTCATCCACATTGCAGCTCATAGTGGTGCTTCATTCCTTGTTCCTGTCTATCCAGCATCCATTCCTCATTTTTCTGAAAACCACCTCTCTATTTGACTTTTGTAAGTCACTAATCTTTGATTCTCATTTCACTTGGGTTTGCACCTTACCCTAACACCAGGGGTGGGAACATGACCTAGGAGGGTCATTTCCATCTATTCGGCCACCATAATATTGGTTCAGGGATGGGTGAGAAACTCAAGGTGAGTTTGAGATTGGGTCCTGAACTTTTGCCCAATTTTCCAGTAAGACTCTTCTATGGGACTTTTTGGCTGAGAGAATGCAAGCCTAGAGGTGGTGGCAGCCATCTTATCACCATGAGTATAGAGGTTGTCTGATAGTGGCAGTAACACCTAAAGAAGGGGGAGGCAGGCATTACGTGGGAGCCCAGGGAAAGTTGACAACTTTTCTGAGGACACATGCAAGGACAGAAGTCAACAGAAGACCAGATACCCAATATCCCTGGTCTTGTTCTTTCTCTAACACATCTTTACTCATGCCACATCTAAAGTTGGCTTCACATGGATGAAGCGGTTCAGGGTCATTTTGTGGGAGGTGATCTGGAGAAGATTTTTCATTCTACTCATCATATTATACTGCAGACACAAAGTTTGGCTTTGACGAGTTCATTAGATGGATCCCTGAGTTTAAGAAAACAAAATCCTACCTCAACTCTGGCTGGTGCTAAGTTATACAATAATGTCCAGTTAGTGCATTTAACCATGCCTAACACTTTAAATTTCAGATCGTTTGTATCAAAACTTACATGGTAACCAAGATTAACCCAGAGAGAAAAATAAAAGATATACAGGTGTGAGAACTTGCAAAATTTTTCTTTCCATGGACCAGCTTTTTAATTTTATGTTCCATTATATGGGATAATGGCATCATCTTGCAATTTTAATGTGATGTCCCAGACCATAATATCCAAATACAATATTTATGCAGTAATCTCCAAACTAAAATATTCATGGGGTTGGGAGATTGGCTGCTGTATTTACTGGATTCCAAAACTGATAAGCTGCAAGCACATGCTTTGGTTAATTATGAGTAAAAATACAGACAACCGATTCCCAAGGTCTCAGAGAGGTTCCTGGTGGAGAGGGGCTGGTGGGAGCGGGATCTGGATTGGGAGAAGGTGGCAAAGACTCAGAATCTGGGTATCTAGCAGATGAAAGGAATCAGCTTAAGAAGTGATTTGCTTTTTTCCCCCCTGCTCTGTGCATTAACCATAAACTGGAAAGGTAAAGGCTGGAAATCAAGGTAAGTCAGTAAACACCTGGGTGTGTCTTTTCTTAGATGCTGGCTCACCAGTAAAGTGTACATAGCTCTTTTACCTGAAGGATGGAGGGCAGATTGATTTGCAGCAATGGGCTCAAGACATAGAAGGTGGCTAATCATGCTCTCCTCCCTTCAGTTTCACTTCCCACTGACTTGGTTACCTGGGGCAACTGGGTCAACAGGTGGAACTACTGAAACACAGACATCAAAAGGACCTGGGTACCAGTCCTGCCTCTGCTTTCACAGACTGTGAGATGGGCTGGCTTAACCTCTCTGAACGTGTTTCCTCACCTGTCAGATGGATCCTGTACATCTGTCCTGACACCTCCTGAATTTCAGCTGGGAAAGTGCAATGGATGATGTTTACAAAGGTCCTTGCACAAAGTTTGGTAAGGACAATCCACCCAAGCAACAGACTGACCCAATCATCAGTTCCTTCTTACATAGTGATAACATCCTGCCCCAATCCCTCACATCCTTGATCATCTTTTCATGCTATATTTTTCTCCATAGCATTTTAAACTTTTAATAACATATACAAGATATATTAAATATACAAGATATTTCATTTATTGTCTATTCCACCTTACTAGACAAAAGCCCCAAGGGGTCGTCTATTTTTGTTCACTGTTATATCCTTAATGTCTACAACTGTGCCTAGCACACAGCTAGTGCTCAATAAATATTTACTGAGTAAATAAAGGAAAGAGTAACAGCCACACCTGTCAGGAAATCAGAAAGTGGAGGCACTTAGTTAACCAGGTACTCGATTCTTCTAACATGCATTTGACAGACGAAGGAACTGAGTCATAGGAAGGTTAAGTCAATTCCTCAAAGCCACACAGGTGGCAGTCCTAGACTTGAATCCAGGTCTCCATAAATCTAATGCAGGCTCTTAACTACTCTGCCATTCTTCACCAGTCCTAATTTGCCAGGTATTGACAATAGCATCCAGTGAAGGATCTGAGAACTTGTACTGCCTCAAAAAGACATTGTGCAGAAATGACAACCAAAGGGCTCGCTGCTGGTTCTGGAAGATCTCACAATGACTGCTGTCTTCAGAACAGGCCACCTAAGGGCAAACCTGGAATCATGGGCATTCGGTTTTACCTTCTGGGATGCACGTTTCAGGGCTGGGTAGTTTGCTTTTCTGAGACTGCTCAACTGGCATATTATGGAACAAAGTCATAGCTAAGTAGGATTCTACTGGTATGTCACAGAGACCAGGTCTACTTGGCTGAGCATCAAAGGAAAACAAATGGAAGGTGGGGAGGGGCCCTAATTCTCGCCCCTGGAAAAAGAGTTCAGGTGTGGGGATTGCCTGATGGAGTATGTGTGTGAAGAGGGGTTAGGTGGAGGGGGGCAAAAGGGGAAAATTGGAACAACTGTAACAGCATAAACAATAAAACATAATTTAAAAAGAAAGTATCTGTAGCCTTTGGAAATGATTTAAGAAAAGGAAGACGATGAAGAAGTCCCTCAACTCAGTTAAGCTCCTGGCTACCATCTCAGCATAGTCATTGAGTATGAATTTATTCCAGACCTGTCTCATCCTATAATGAATTCTAAAAGGAAGAACTCTGCCCCTCAGATTTTACAGCGTGTTCGGAGTGTGAAGGAATCTTAGCAATCAGCTAAAATAACTAATTCTACTGACTAAATATACACACATGTAGACACACACACACACTGAAACCCAGAGGGGTGTATGATCCAAAGTCATCCAAAATATATAGCCTGGGGAAACAAAACAAAACAAAACTCCCATTCCTCTCTTTTCCTGTCCAGTGATCTGTCACTGAACCCAGACTCCTCCTTTAGCACAAGTCCAACCTGAGCATTTTAGTTAAAAAATAGTCATGGAACAAAGCATGAAAACCGCAGTGTGTGAAGTCAGCCAACCACGTGAATAGGCCCACAAGTGCCAGCCATCTGATGATGCCGGGGCCACGCTTTGGGTTCTGGAGGCAGACTACTCGTTTCAAGTCCTG